AGCTATTAATCTTCCCAGGTTTGGAGTAAGTCCTTGTAAAAAACCCTCTCCCTTTCTTACTCTTCATTTTTCAAGTGTTACAATGTTGCTATTAAATATTTGTAAACACAAGAAAAACACATCGCTGGAAGACAAAACCACTCAATTTAACATTTTCATTCTTCAGCAGCCAACTGCAATTTTCCTAGTGTGGCAAAGGGAGAAACATTATCCCAGTGCACCAGGTAGATTATGTCATGTGCTAAAAGTTAATTTAGAGAATAAACACAACACATGAAGATCTTCAACCATAAACCTTTTCCCATTACTAACTGCTCTTTGAAAACAAACCCTTCAAGTTACACACCAAACTCACAGGTCTGGTGGCCTAGACCAGATGTCTGAGGTCAAAAGCTGCAGAGAGTGGTGCTTGTTTTAAGTGCTTTTCCTATTAGTTTCCAACACGGAATTTGTTTTTCCACTGCTACATGTGCAGTCGGACCTGAGCTACCTTCAGTAGCTCAGAAGACGTCTTGCATCTGCCACTGCTAGAGACTTTTCTCCTCCATCACATTATGTGGGACTTTTCAATTCTAATTTCTGAATATTTCTGAAATTGAAATACCAAACCCATGAAACAGCTACGCAGATCTTTTCACACTTGGCTGTCTCTAGGAAAAAGATACACTGAAGACAGACTATCATAGTATGGTAGTGAAAGGAGCCATACCAAAGCTGCATCACCCAGAATCAGAGTACTGTTTTGTGCTTGAAAAATTTTTGAGACGAGAGGCCTAAGATCAGCATCTCTTTATATCTGATAGATATGTTTCAATTATTCTTTAGTCTTGGTTCACATAGAACCAGGCTTTGAAGACAAGAGATCTTCTCCATATATATATATATATAAAAGACCCGTGAGGTTCATCAACATTGGGTAAAAGAAGAAAACCCCCAAAATTAGGCACATAAAACATGATTTTGCTCAAGAACGGGAACACTGGGTGAAAAGCTTAAAGAAAGTGCTATATAAGGAGGTTAAAAAGCAGAAGATGTAGTCACATTTTTCAATGATGTAATCCTCCTCTCTGAGGAGAGGAAAGAATGGTAATTCCTAGCAACTAAACTTGCTTTTATGGACACTGATCGACAAGATCTGTCCATTCCGAGTTCTGAAATTCCGGGTAACACCAAACAGGCCTAGATAAGGGCTTTCTTGTGCTCAGTGATTAAAAACACGAAGCATCTCTGACCCAAATAATTTCAAACGTTTCAGAAGAAAGCCCAAAAATAGGTTATGAAGACATTTTGTGAATCTGTAGAGCTTTTTTTTTCCAAGCCTCTCAACATATGACTCTTATTTTAAAAACAACACAAAACAAAAAAAGCAACTCTGCGATCCAGTGAGATATTCATCACTTGGGCACTCAACAAAAAGTACAAGAGGTTAACCTCTCTTTGCACACTATGGATGGAAAATGTTGGAAGCCACAGCTCTGTGAACTGACAAACAACAGAAGTGTTTCTTGTGTCAGTTCAGCTACAAAATAGGTTACGGTCCCATCTATGCGATGACAGGGCGGTTAACACCACAGTTGTAATTAGCACTGACTGACAACTCTGGCCCGAGCTCAAGAGATGTAAAAAATAAATGAGCATAACATAGCAACTCCTTGCCATCCGCGTTCAGATTTCTACCAGGAATATTAGTAGGATGCTTCAGAGAAATCTGAACTACACCTAATGCGAGAGCCTTCGTCCGCAAAGACGTAGCGTTTCATGTGCTCATGCCTGGTGCTCTTGAATGGAAATTAAGCGGGTGAGAGTAACTCTTTCTTATATAAAAATACAAGGATTTAAATATTTAAAATACTAATCCACTTTTTTTGGTAAATGAATACAGACAAACAAATACACGTGTGCTGCATGATTAAATCAAGTATGAATAAGAAAACACGACAGTTCTTTCAAACCTACAGATACACCTATGTATTTAGCAAACTTACATTTGTCAATAACTCATTTAAGAATTTAAAGGGCGACGGATCTTACACAATCTGACCGTCACCTTTAAGCAGACAGCACCCCACACAACAAGGTGAGGCACAAACAAGAGACACAAATATGTAAGCCAGGACTAACGGAAGCCGCAGGAGCAAGGACAGGTCCCTGCAGCGGCACGGCGGAGCACACAGCTCTGCCTGGACACACGCCTCGGGACACGGCTGCCTCGGTACCGGCAAGAAGCATCTCAGCAGTTACTCTAGCAACCCCTTTCACCCCTCTACCCAAACACCTGAGAGAAAGGAAGAATGAAATGCAAGGAGCAAACCAAAATATCTACGGCTTTCCAAACTTAAACCAAACGTACTAGCTAACTCTAGTATGTGAAATTTTAAAGCGATTAGCAGATATTCAGAGGGAATACAAAGTTACGTTCATCCTCAGAGCTGTGAGCTGAGCAAGTTGCCTGCCTGACACATGCACATACAGGGAAACAGGTTTACTTTCAAAAGAAAATGAAGTTATTTGCATTTTCTCAGATGTTTATCCTTTATATTTCACTACAGCTTCAAAAATTTCTTCTAGTTTATTTCGTCCTTTTCCCAAAATATTCCAAACAACTTCTTTCCCCTTTTGCTCTCTGACTTTTTATTTACATACCCCTTCTCCTAATTCTTCCGAAATTTCTCATTCTTCAGTGTTTACTCATTTTTATCTTTTGCTTATTTGTTATTCAGTTTTTACCGAAAGACAGATTAGTCCCAGGGTGTACTGCACCTAAGTACTCCCGTCGCCTTCCCGGAACGAACTGGGTAGAATGAGATAACCCTTAGCTGTATGGCACACAGAGGAATGAATCCCCGTTTTCTAACGAGTGTCTGCTAGACATCCATTCTACCATTTGCTACAGGAAGATTTAGAAAAGAATCCATTTGCCTACAAACTCTACTCATGGCCTAGTTATTAAATATAATATTAATATTTAATAATTGCATAAATATTTAAATGTTTGTTTCGTGGTTATAAAACGACTAATACTTTTCCCTCTCTCTTCATGCTTCCTTCAGATCGGCCCTAATCAGACTTAAACTGGGAAATACTGCTCTGCTGCATATGGGAAAACATTTATACATTCTACTTCCATAATAATTTCATTAAGTTTTTCAGGTAGAAGTAGCTTTTCCTGACTTTCCACATCAAACCTTAATGCCTATTCACCACAAGATAAGAAAATGTTATTACACCATAACTAGCTCAAGCACCAACATATACTTACCCCAACAGACACAATCTGAGCATTAACAAAACAGGTTATTACCCTGTTTATTAAAAAATTATGACGTGTCCTCTCCTGCACAAACACAAACCACGCAAGAAAAGAACTGCCATAAAAAGGAGGAAGAACATCAAAATTCAAGTTATCTCACACGTATTTAACATTTGCTGGACCTTCTATTAATTCCTTTTTCCTTTTCTAATTTAAGTCTAGAAAGGAAATCACATGCTGAAATAGCTCACGCAACTGGCAGCTATGAATTTGATCTTACAGTGAAGACTACCAGGTTGGTGTAAAGTCCCAAAATACATAAAAACTGAGATGGATGAAATAATTATGCTAACAGATTGCATGGAGTTTGAGAATCTGCAATACTTTCTGCAAGGACAGGAAACATACTTTTCTCCTCTAAATTATGTTCTTTTCATTTGGCAAGAACATATGCCCACTGCCTCCCCCCCGATTTTTCATCTATTACTACAAAACTGAAACCGAAACAATTTTGTTTACCAAGCACAGGCAATACTTCTTCCTGGAACACCCTGAAGTCCAGCAGTAACACTGGAAACACCACAGAAGCTGGCAGTACAAAGCAAACATGTCAATCCTTTTTAAGTGCAAGCCTACCCAAAATAACACGGGGTTTACTTTTATTTAATCATAAATAGCATCATCCTATCGTCATCGTACGAGAGGCAACACATCCTATTTCTGAGTGGTCACTGTGCTGAGACAGCCTGCTTGAAGTTCAATTCCTACTGTAAAATCCCACGTGTGGTGGGACCCTGGGCAAGTCATTTCTCCCTCCACTTCCACTATCACATTTTCTTCCTGTTTCCAACTTCAGTCTGAAGAATCTGCCATCTTAACACTTTTCACAAAGGCCTTCTAATCTCAATTAAATCTCTAGGCATAATCGAAGGAAGGTGAATTTTAGTATTAATACGAATGGCACCTACAGAATCAGCTGGAGCCTGACAACAGCAGGAACTACGCACTGCAGCCAAAAAAGGTTGGTTTGATGCGACGCAGCCAGTGTAATTTCAAATTTGGAGACCACAATCCCATAATGTTTTGTAAATAAAGGACAAACATTGCTAAAACTGAAACATTTTAAGACAAAACACACAAAACATAAACGAGGAAGAGGAAAAAGATAAGGTCACGAGCCGAGCTAAGCCCTGGAACTGTGCTTCAACTGAAGATTTTCTTTACAATCTCCTTATGCCTTCCACTTCCATGCTTTTTTAAAATGAGCTAAACTTCTACAAGTTACTACTTTTCTAGTTACTGAGAATAGCCATTATGGATGAGCATCTCCTTCATTTCTGTTTTAAGCTCAGCCTTAGATAAAGCTCAGCCGTAAGCAGCTGAGCGCAGCGGCGCACACCTTTCCGATGAGCTGTCCTTTCAACCAGGAGGGAGTACAAACTTCCCCCAGCTGCCAGCAGTAACGAGTCTTTGACATCTGAAGGTTTGCGTTGAGTTTTTCTCCCCCCAACCACAAAGAGGTGTAAAAACATTGAGTAGTTGCTCAGGTATTCAACAAACACCAATTCATTAAAGGAGATAAGACTGAGTAAAGCTTAATTTTCTGCTTTTGTGGCCAGCAAGCATTAGCACCTCTAAACCAGGGAAGGAACAGAAGACTTAGGCCATGTGAAAGATGCAGACACCCTTCTCTCCCCTCCTCTTCAGAAAATGATTTTACCATTCAAAAAGCCAAAATGCAGCGACTTACTTGGGTTGGAACGAGTACTGGAGGATACGCCAGCTTGTGATGTCTGTACATCCAAAACGAAAAGAGCACAATCACTGCAATTCCCATTATAGGCACCAATGAATAAAGCAAGGTATTGAACAGAGGTGGCTTAGGCGTAACAGGATTGGAAGTTGCTGGAAAAAAGAAGACAGAGCTCTTCAAAAACAAGTACCGTCCAGTGTTTGAAATGCCTGATTTCCTGTAACTTCTTGCCATCAGCACAACAGGCTAGCGATTCTTCATTAAATTGTAAAAACAATATAAACAGACACATACATTAAAAAACAGCCTTTTGGAATGTGCAGAAATAACTTAGAACCCCAGACTGACACATCAGCACAGCTAACTCAGGTGCTTCCAAGCTCTGCCTATCTACAATGTAAGAGGTGTTTGTATTTCAGGACAATTGCAAGGATGCCATCACCTCACGAATGAAAAAAGATGACACAGAGAGGTTTAGCCTTCTGAACGTACACAGTAAGGTGTCATGACTAAGTAAAACAGATACAATCCTCCAACACCCCTGTGTGCTGTTGATCTGCTGAAAGTAAAAGCTCTCTTGCTGCAGACACCTCCGCAGGCCCTGCCAAAAGACTCCAGGGAAGCCCTGTTTCCGAGGAGCTGGTGGCCAGGGCAGCCCCAGACCCTGGGGTCAAAGAGGTTTCACCAGACTGAAGAACAACCTCAATTTACTGCCTTAGCAGCATCCCTGACAAAAATGCCAAGAACATCTCTTGGGTCAACAAACCTATTTTAATCTCACAGAAAATGTTATTTAATTTCATAAACAACTTCCTCTGGCTATTTGGTACACAAGACATTTGTGTTTTCAGTTCAGTTATAAATATTACTCAGTCTTCCAACAAAGATTAGATTCTTGACTGGAAAAAGATATGTAAGAATAATCAAATCATCTTTTAGTTACTGTTTTTTAAACAATTGTTTGTTAACTCTGGCTATCTGATTTTCCTTGTAACCTGGGAAGAAATCCTTTCCCCTTTTTTAAAGGTTTCTGTGTCAATTTTCAGAGAAACTCAGAGGTCTGATTAGTTTAAAGAAATAGAGAACAGCACTGTTTCAAGAGAGGCAGCGTTCAAGGATAATGAGCTTTTTAGCCCAATGATTTATAGACACTTACAGAAGCTTAACTACACAATTAAGGTAAGATTTGACAGAAGCTTCTGTATCTTAAAACAGCCAATTATTTCAGATTATCCTTCCTTCTCACCCACAGAAAAAAGCTGAAGTACCTTTTACCAGTTTACATTACTCCTAGTAGAGAGACCTGTCCAGCAATTTTGTAGGCCCTCTACGCCAACGCACCCAGCGCTCTGCCATCCGGGGCTCAGAAACCTTCCGGCAGGAAAAACTGACCACAGTGTTTCGAAAGGTCTTATCTCCAGCACATGCACAATACTAAACGTTTCTGAGCTCGGCCAAGCAGTGCCTTCCTAACGTTGTCAGAGTAACTTACGTTGCGTGACCTCCATTTCTGGAAAATAGAAAAAGCGTTCATTGCACATGTTGCCTTCACAACAACAGAAAAACACTTCAGGGCTGTCCTTCTTCTCTATGCAATCATTCCTAGAAAAGATAATCATAAGCGACTTGTTAATCTTAAATTGGGATTTTTTTCTGCAAGCGAAAACACATGCTCATATTTAAAATTTAAATTGAACCTCATGGAGTCACCCATGATAAATAACACACCACCCAAGAGTTAGAGCAGAAGAAACAGCTTCAAATTCTGTTACATATTTTATACTGCAATGAAACGTCATTAATATTAATACTGAAACAGCATGTTTTTGCTATTTAAGACAAAGTTAAAGAAAACCACCAACAGGATGTGTTTCAAAGGCTGGCAAAAATCCCGAAGTACAGGTCACGATCTAGATTTCAAGAGGACAAATGACCAAACAGCTAGTTTTTAACCATAAACTCACAGTATAGGGCTGCTTGGGTTGGAGGCAAGTGGGAAGGAGAATTTTAGATTTTGATTTTACTTACAGAAAGAAAGATAAAATTCCTACAAGTTCCCCTGCCTACATTAGCTCAGGGTCAGGGCTTATTTCTCTCAGTGAATTAACAGCACAAAAAGAGTTCTATTAACAAATAAGCTGAAACTATCCAGTCAGGAAAGAAAAAGAGGAGTCACATAGGAGACAACTTGACAGGAGAAAGAGAATAATTTGGAAATCCTGCAGAAATAGTTGAGGATTTTAGATACAGCTGTCAAAAAAGTTTGGGGTTCATCTTGAAAAAGTAGGGTCATTTTATAGAACCAGCTAATGCTATCACAATGTACCATAACCTCCATGAAACATTTATTCTTTGATGTTCTTAATCTGCAGTTGTTTGGAGTTCATGGTTCTGTAACTCCCTGTTTAGTAAACCTCTCTTCACTCCCAGAGATAAGATTTTTTTAATGGATGTTTGAGACAAACAAGGCAGCGTGCACTCTTACAGTAAATGAGTTCTTAAGAGCCAAACTTTACTAGTTTTCAGCTATTTCCTTACCGTCCCTCCTGCACTTTATTTCTTCCAATTTCTTTCCTTTGCTCAAGGGAGAATTCAGTACCATTTTTTTAGACTGTTCAAAGATGCATGTGGAACTAGTGGGATAACAACGCTACAGAACCTAATTATTTTCAAACTGAAAAATTCTACTTCCATCCTAGAAGTTTAACATTTAACAGAATTAAACTTAGGTCAGAAATTGTAAACACCCACACCTCTTTGGCAAAGGTACAACCAATAACAGATTAAAAAAAACCCAACACAGAACAAAGAACTTTCCCACCCTGACTGACTTAGAGTTACTAAACACCAATAGCAACATGTAAGAGTTCTCTAAATTTGTCCTCTGCCTTCCAGCAAGGCTGAATTTCAATCATGCTGTGCAGGCAGGCTTGCAGACGCTTTGCTACTACTCTGAGAAACAGATAAATCAGAACTACTATTCACTTAGCTTTAAGCTGTCATTAAAGGAGAAAATATCCTAGGGGGAGGAGCGGAATTCATGTGGTAGGAATGACCATAACGATTTTTTCCACTCATTCAACATTTAAGAAACACAAAACTAAAATTTTCTAAAATGTTGCTAAAAATTATTTCTAAATACATTTCAACGAAGATCTAATATGTATTTATTTTCTAAATTCTCTCCCCTTCTAGACAGTAACTGTTTGATTGTTTGGCTGTTTATATATTTGACTGTTGGTGAAATAAAACTTAGAACATTACTTCAAACAACTATACAGCATTTCTGAAGAGAGTCACGACCTTTATTCAGCCAGTATCTAGCAAACCCCAAGTCCTGCTGTTACTGCTGCCGGGTACCTGCTAGACCATCTGTTATTTTAAAAAAAAAAAGGACTGGAATTTTAGCGTATTTGGTGTCTCTTAGAGCTGCCACTGAGGTGAACTTTTTAATAAATCAGCAAAATACTCTCTCGTTTACGTAAGGACCAGACGCAATGTGCTGACATCCCTACTCCAAAGACTTTGGAGAAGTGAACGACAGAATTTGGCATTCTGGTTTCAATGACTATATTTGTACTGTTTGGTAGTAACAATAATTAGAAAATCTATTAGTAGTGGCCTAAAAAAGAAGAGTTTTTTTAATATATATTAAGTAAATGAGAGCTATTCCTATTGTGTAAACCAGATAAAGCACCCAGATGACGACAGGTCCCTAATTACAAGTGAGCAAAAAAAATAAGAGACGTGTATGCGTGTGCACATCTAAAACCAAGGGAACTATTCACAGACCGCTGTATTATCAATTTGTCTCAAGCACTGTTTGCTGGGAGAAGGTTGTACAAATTACAGACAGGAAAAATAGTTTAAAATTACAAATAAATATAAAATTTAGAGAAAAACTCACTTACCTGTCATAACAATTGATGTCATCTAGCCAGCAACCTTGCTTCACAATTTCAATCGATCCAGAAATATTCTTCCACGTAGCAAAACAGTGTCGTCTTTTATCTTTATCACCATAACAAGGTTCGATACCGCTGCGATTTGTTTTGTCTTTTTCCCAATTAGCATTGTAGTAGATACACTCCTGTGTTTCCGATCTGCCCAGTATGGCTCCTTTTAGGAATGAAAAGGAAATCACAATTAAATGGCATTCTGAAGGATGAGACATATGAACAGTCAAAACCAGGATGTCCTGCAGTAGCATACACCGCTTGCATCAGTATATCCTCTCCCTTCCTTTTTAATAAAGAAGGAAAAAATTTAAATTCACAAGTATTCCAGGTAACTGTTGAAAGAGAAAACAAAGGTCTTCAAAGCAAACTGTGACTTGGGTAACCTGTTAGAATGTAAAGAAATAAAGAACACGTTATGTCAGTATCTCTCCCTGAACAGCAACAGGAAAGAAAATTTACCACACGAGATTTAGCTACAATATTAGCCAAACGAGAAGTTTTCGCTAGCAGAATTTACCCAAAGGCATTTTTGTCTCGTTACACATGCCAAGAGCAGCAGTTAGTACACCTCAGAAACTTAAACCCGACTAATAAATTCAGTTTTAAACCATCATGTTCCCTTTCACCTGTGATGTAGCTTCTTACACAAAGCCCCGAAGTACAAGAGACACTGTGCTGAAACGGTGTCCTCTGTCATTCTGACCTGCCAAGTGAGCAAGAGGAATCGAGATCAGAAGGCGCGAGGCAACGGTCCCTGACTCCAAGGAAAGCGCTGGGCTACCTGCTGCGTGGTGCCACCCCATCAACCAGCTGCAACGTCGGAGACGTTAGGACTTGTCATAACCCAGTAACTAAATGCTTCTGCTCTCGGAAGACCCAGGGCCACGTCTCCTCTCCCCATGGCACGTGCCCGACGCAGTCACTGGGGTCAACCACGACGGCTGGCATGCAGGCGGCGGGCAATAAAACGGGGTTTGGAGGCCGAAGCACAGGCACAGCCTGTACGAAACGTGCTGGTAGACCAGAACGGACTCAGACCGCCTAACCTATCCTGATACCATGTGATTTCTCTTTTTGGCTATCCTTGATTTTTAAAAATATTTAAGTTTCTGGACTTTTCAATGTAATTTTATCTTCTGAATTACAAACGTAATTAATCCATCGATGCCTAATGACAACCTACCACGACACCCAGCAAATATTAATGCACTGGAGCACCTCAAAGCGAAGGGAATTTCATCGTTTTAATGCGTTATGACGCACCAATCTGATTTCTGCAAACGTAAAGGGTTGTTAGGATGCAAAACTTTTAACAAAATAGTGGGAGGAGTAAGTGGCTTTTATTTCTGGTTTTATCTTGTCAAACACTGCCAAGCGTGTGTCATTAGTCTTCACACAAGCTTCATCACCTAACATACGTTAAGAACATGGAAAAAGCGAGAGGGAGATCAAAAAGCCATCAAGTCAGAGGACTCATTTCAAAGCTGAGGGCCAGGAGGATGACAAAGCACGTTTACTTTGCCTGTGCACCCATCTGATATTTTCAAGACAGGTACATCAGACATCATGCTGAAGATCAGATTTCAACAGAAAAGGTCTTTCACAGCAGCCAGTCTTGTACATATTTATTCCTATCACTCATTACCTCCTTTATTCACATATATTCTCAATAATTTTGATACAGTAGCGATTGCCTTGCAGCCATACCTGTACTTCTCATTTTCCTACATGAGGGTGTAACACCCCCTTCTTTAGCGGGGTGAAACCTCTGCCACCCAGGCAGGCTACCCAACAGCGGGAGGAGGTGCGGGTCAGGGTGACTGCCACCCTGGGTGAGGCTGCCAACACGTAACACCTCCCCAAACACACACACCTGACAGGAAGGTCATTCTTCCTCAGTGAATGGACCCGACCGTACAGGGACCAAAAAAGCCGCACCTCTTAGGGCGAAGAGAATTATTTCACACCAAAAATCGCTGCAGCCCTCTCGAAGTGCAGCACCGGACATCAGACGCAGCGCTGACCATGCTGGGCATCCCACTTTACCACCTTCAGGAACTTTTGACTTTGACGCATTCCCAAAATAGGCTGAGGATGCTGCTTACGCGTTTTGGGAATGAGCCTGGATGTTCAATGGGAGAAATGCACTAGCCAGCTGGTAACACTGCGAGATGCAGCATGTTAACTATTATATTCTTTGTGCTGCGATGGCCTGACCTTTACAACTCCCAGCTATGGCAAGAAACAGATGAGGCAACAGATTGAACAATTTGGTTCTGTCAGTGCAATAAAGCAGAAGTCCTGGATTTCTCTCATACGTGCCATTCCTTTTCTTCTGCTGCCAAGCCTAGCTTTGAAGGACCATAGACGAGCTGAATTTGATAAAATTCAGAAACTACGGTGAAATTAAATTTGCACAAACATTCTCCTTATACATGTCATCTTTATAGCCAAGTTTTCTTACCCATTATCTCCGCACCGGTCCCACCTCTCCAGCAATCAATCTGCTCGCCTAGTGACTTTGGACATGACCGGAGTGCCTACCAGTAACACCTTCTCCAGGGGCTCAGCAGACGTTTGCAATAGGTCTGGCCAGACTACCCTGGTGTGTGGACATACCAGGACAATCTTGGATGAGTATTTCCAAGTAGAAGAGTAGGAACATCGTAGAAGCAAGGGAAGAAGGGAACCAGACACAGAAGGCAGCCCTAAGCCCACCGCACAAAGGAGGCATCTGCTGATAACCAGCTCTGCCACCCCCTCCAACAGGGATCAGACTCGTGAAGGAGAAGGGCAGCTGACGTTTACAACAAAAGCAAATTGATTTGGGTCCCAGCTCAGGCATAGGAATGTAGCTCCTATACCCCTTCTGAGTGCTGACAAATTGTTTTCATATGAAATGGTGTCAGGTCTTCAGGAAATCTATTACTGAAGCTCAAAAGGCAAAATGCTGCTGCTGAAAGACGCCGCAAGCAGAGCACCAGCAGTATCCTACGGCCTGAACTTGGTCTGAAAGCTTCCGAGAGGAAAACACATTGGAAAAGCAAAGGATATTGAAGTATATAACAGAGTTCAGTTCTGGCGTGTTAAGACCGATCCCATTTCATACATGCCGTTATCGTATTGCGGTCAGCGTGCTGCTGGATGACTGTACGTTTGTGTTCACCCACAACAGCTGCAGTAAGAGAAAAAAACCAGCATTTGCTGGTGAACTTCTGAACCAGGGCTAATACAGGATACACTGTAATTGTTCGCAGTACAGAAAGCAATTTCATTAGAGGGTGCATGTGCAGTCTGGAAAACCTCACCTTCCTAGGAACCTGAAGGACTGATTACCATTTTTTTAAGCAGAAAGAGATGTATGCCTGAAAAAAAATGCCACCCTAGCCTTTTTTTTAAATTAAATTGGTCTGTAAAGCAGTAATGGAAGCATGACAATTTTAATAAAAAGTCTGAAATGCGATCATGATGATCTCCCTCATTTCCTGAGATGACTTCAAAACAGACATCCCACTGCCCCGTTTCCAACTCTATCCCCACATATTGCTGTGGCATCATATTTGGTTGGTAACACCACGTAAAGACACAAAGGCTTCCAGTCAAAGGGAAGATGAATCTGTGAGTCCTTGCTGGTTTACGAAATCTAGCAAAAACGTTAAGCTGAAGTCATGAAAACTCGTGAAAAGTCCACAAAGATTAGTTTGATGGTGCCGAGATCTGTGACATCAGCGTGGAAAATAACCCCCAAGTCTTCTGAAAGCCGGTCTACGCACGTAGGTTGCTCTGATGGGCGCCCCCAATGCGCACCTTCCACATTCTTAACTGGAAGGGAACTAGAAATGGAATTTCCGACTTAGCCCTGCATGTCTTCCAGCCCTAGAGAGAACGACAGAACTTGTCCATGTAGTAGGTTTTGGAGAGGAACTCACTCAAGCCGGAGATGCAAACGGCAACACTGAAGTCTGGAAAGACGAACCGCATCTGTATTTCATGGCTGCATGACCTACCCAGGTGAGTGCATTCTGCTGTACTTCAGCCTGGTTCTGTTCTCAGCAGTGATAACAGTATTGGGAAGGATTTATGTGCAGCAACACTCATGTGACAGAAAAGGACGTTTTTTTCTGCTGTTTCCTAGAAAAAATAGTTTATAAAGGAATGAAAGCGTGACATTCAGTCTGGCTACCTTTACTTATTGCAGAAAGGTTACTTAAATTGTATTACACTTGAGATTAATTTGAACTCATTCTGAGCCCCAAGATCCAAAAAGAGATGCAGAATGGAGGAGTTATTCTAACAAGCTAAGGCAACGGGCCTGAAGAATCACAGGGGCTGGACAGAGCGAGGTGCTTCACAGATGGAACGGCCCATGCACCAAGAGATCTGCGTGGTACCGCACTTTTGCAGGGGAACAAAGACGGACAGAAAGTGTAGCATTGATAGAAACAGCACCTGGGAAAAACTCCAGTTAATGTCCAGGTGCCTTTTCCAAGTACATGCTATGTATGTAACTCTATTCGTTTCCACAGTGATCTCACATACACCTTCTAGACCCACAAATATATCCAAGAACACACTACAGATATACTAAAAAGGCCTGGCTTTGATGTTTCCGCAAGCAGGAAGCAGGTTTTTATCATTCTGTATTTTTTTCTGATAACACCCAGGGGAATGTTTCTCAAAGGAAAAGTAAAAGGTTATTTTCAACCTAATAAAGCAAACAAGAGTTAAACCAGAAAGGCCTCATTCTATCCCCCATATACACACCAACATGTCCCAAAACATGTTTTGTTGATCTTTAGGCAAGTATTAGTCCTACTACCATTGTTATCAATGCTCGTGGGTCAAACAAGGACTGTACTTCGTATAAACTGGGCCACAGTACATTCATTAAATCCAAACACAACAGCAATTAACTTAAGCAATGCAAGAATCAGGGAAAAGATAAACAAGACAGCAACATAACAAGTCACCCGAACCGCTGTCACACTGCCTTATACAGAAGATGCACATCTTTTCAGACTACAATTTCTCATTATCTTTCTCCTTTTCAGCGTGTTCCACCAAGCCTGCATGGTGGTTAACCAAGAAGTCACTGGGGTAGAAAGGAGAAATGGTACCAAAGTGCTGCACCTGTGTGCAGAAGTCTGAGAGACTTAAGACCTTTTAAGAGGCTAAAAGGTTAGTCCATAAAAATAAAAAAAAAAAAAATTGGCCTGATGTTCTAAAAGGTTTGTTTCCTTTCCTAAAATAAAATTTAAAAAAATGAGCTTGCAACCCAACATGGGTCTTGAGTAAACTTGAAAGTTTTAGTGTAGCTTTCTGTATAACAACAGCTATATTAAACTCCTGGATTATAGCATGGGGGGAGTATCAGAAAACCTGCACTTGCTTAGGTGTCTCATCATGTACTTCTACTTTTCTCCGAAAGAGAGCATTCCAGAGGAGAAAAACAGTGCTGGAAAACTGAAGAATGTTCTACCTAATGGCACTAAGTCTCAAGGGCACAGGTTCCTAAATGTAATGGAAACTATGGAGAATGATGTCATCCACAAGTACTAAATACCACTGAGAAAGGAGGGGAAAAGGAAAAAAAAAAAAAAAAAAAAAGAGTAGTATCACTCCACTACTATATTGTTAAGAAATTCCTTCCAACCCCTTGTATGCTAGATGGATGGCAACAAGAAAACCAACCCTTTTCTACCAGAAATATGTCTTCTGGATTTACAGATACCAGCACAGAATATAAAGAGAAGTCAGCTGCTATACCCAGTTGATGTTTTTCATACAAATATATATATCTTGGTTTTATTTAAAAAAAAAATTCATAGTGAGTGTGAATGTAAGTTCAACTCAGTGCAGTCAATATAACGATCCATTCATCTGCTTTTGAAACTGGGCAACTCAGACAGTTCGGTATCACTCCTGGATCCAAGACAATGTCTAAAACAGCATCAGGAAATACATACATTTTACTCTGGTAATAAATTATCAGACAGCATGCATTTGATCTCTCTTTTTGTCCCAGACCCAAAGGCTGTTTGTTGCTCTGGCCATGGAAGGTGGAGCCGGACCGTTCATTAGCCTTGCTCTGACACTGCACAACGCATCAGCCTGAGGTGAGCCACAGAATTAAGACACACTCAAAGAACTCTGTACACAGCTTGAGGAGTTCACCATTTCTCTTCAGGGTGCTAGCAATGGGCCAAAACGCTCCGACATTCTTAATCTCATCAACACTTCCCTTTTACCGCTAAGTTCCACTTACTATTTAAAGGCATGGCAATACTGTAGCTCTGGTAAGAGAGATTTGGCAGCTAGGTACCATGCAATTTAAGCAATTTTTTGAATAGGAACACCACTTCAGACTAAAAAGTACTATCCATACATTACCTGCAACACAAAATTAGATTCAATCAAATGAAAGAACTAGGATTCTGGAATCTGTAGAAGCGATGCCCTTAAAACATGCTGAACATCCAAGACAGAATAAACTCTCTACCTGTGAATCCCTACACTGCGATGCCCACTTGACCTTCTGTAGTTCAAGCTTCAGTAATTAGCCATGTTTAAGAAACCTATGCATCTCCATAACTGTGAGCTCAGTCTGATGACTTCCCCAGAATATTTAAGAGCCTATTAAACTTTTTATTACTTTAAACAAAGAGCTACAGTTTTTAGAGACCTGAGATTTTAGAAATGGTGGTGGCAGAATTGACGGAAAGCATCTTCAAAGGGTGAGGCCACAATGGGAGGAAAAGGATGCAAGTAAAGATGAGGAACTTCTTAGTTCTTAGGTACCATCAAAAGGGAAGTTTTCACCTGAGTGATTAACAAAGACGGGATTAGAGGGGGCTATTGTGATACTAGGAAACAGGCCACCACAGGAGGCGTAACAGTGGCATCTAAATCTCACTTAACACTTGCTCACAGCAAAAAAGAAGCTGGAAGTACTTGTGCAATACACGCTCCTCCCCGCAGTCCCTCCAAGCAGTCTTATTGTTAGAAGAA